AATGTCCTCTTGCTAAGTTAAGGTTATCTAGAAATGCATCTATTTCTACATGATTTTTCAGTTCATTTGAATAAAGATTTTTGATGTAATCTTTTGATTTAATCTTCTGTATTTCATTTGTATTTGTCATGATATTCTCATTCTTCTCTCTCATTTTATTTATTTGAGTCATTTTCCTTCACTTTCAATCATGTTGGCTAGATACTTATCAATTTTATCTTTTCAGAGATAAAGATGTTTTTGGTATAGATTTTTAAAGTCTCTAATCGATCGCTGCCCTAATCTTGATTATTTTGTTCCTTCTCTTGATTTGGGGTTTAGTTTGTTCTTTTTGTCCAGGAGCTTAAGATGTATCATTAGGGTATTAATTTGAAGTGTGTGCTCATGGCTATGAACTTGCCTCTTGGAATTGCCTTTGCTATATCCTAGATGTTATGGAAGGTTGTGGTTTCATTTTCATTATATTCTGGAAACTCTCTTATTTCCTCTCTTATTTTTTCTATGACCTACTGGGTTTTTGGCAATGTATTGTTCAGTCTCCATGCTTTGAGTATTTTCTTAGTTTATTTTATGTTAAACTCTAGCTTTATTGCATTACAGTCTGACAGCACAATGGAAATTATTTCAGTTTTTTTAATACTTGCTGAGACTTGCTTTCTGTCCTAGAAAATGACCTATTTTAGAGAAAGTTCCATGGCCCACAAGTAGAATGTATATTGTACAGCTGCTGAATGAAATATTCTATAGATGTCTGTTAGGTCCAAATGGTTTATAGTGTCATTTAAGTCTAAGGTTTGTTTGCTTATTTTTGGCATGGATGATCTATATAATCTTCAGAATGGATGTTGAAGTCTTCTACTATTATTGTGTTGAGGTCTGTATGTTCTTAAGACCAGCTGTGTTTATTTAACCAAGCTGAGCACAATGAAATTTGGTACATAAACATCAAGGATTGTTAAGTATTTTTGATAGAAATTTCACTTATTTGTTTATTTAGTGACAGTCCTGGGGCTTGAACTCATCCTGGGAGCTATCCCTGAGGTTTTTTCCTCAAGGCTAGTGTTCTACCATACCTCTATTTCTAGCTTTTAAGAGTCTCACTGACTTTCCTGTCCCTGAGCTCCATTCTCAGATCTCAGCTTCTTAATTAGCTAGGATTACAGATGTGAGCCACCAGCACCCAGCAAAGTTCCTTTTATTAATAATTAAGTAAACTTCCTTGTCCTTTCTGCTGCCATACCACCCTGGTTTAATACCTCATCTATAAAGATACTCAACCCATTGATTTGATCAGGTTATATGCCCATCACCTGACTAGATTCCAACCTCTCTCTCCAAGCAGCTGTTATGTGAATCTTGGTCTTCAGCATTCAGCATACAGCAGTTGACTAAAGTGCAGACTAAATAATGAAGAAACAGAGACCCAGAGAGGCAAGGAGATTGCTCAGGCTCCATGACAGGTTAATGCCAGGGTCAGACTGGGACTCTAAACCTTGCTTTTCAACTCTTCATCCTGTGCCTCCCTCAGTGGGGCCGTTAAGGAAGAAAGAGAGTAACTAGGTGCAGGCCAGGTTAGCTAGGAATGCTCAGCTGTGATTGACCCAGGAGTAGCCCAGCCTGAAGCCTGCTCCCTGAAACTGTAGTCCCATTTCAGGAAATTCCCCATCTCCAAACCATCCATTTCCCATCCCTAGTCATAAACTTGATGCCAAGAGAGCAATCTAATCAAACCACTTGTGTATCCTTATAAAGGAATTGCTGCTAGAAGCACTTATAGATAATTAGCTTTCATATGGAATGGGATGGGCCTGGGAGTGAGGCCAAACTTTCCTCATGGGTGAGTATACAAGTGGCAAGGAGGATGGTCTGGCCTGGTCATAACCTGGGCAGCAGGGCCAGTGCAGCTGGAATGTGGACACAGGGAAAAGCTGGCAAATGCTGAGGTTCTCCTTAGGGAGTGAGAGAAGCCTGGAAGCCATGCAACAGATAAACCCATGCAACTTATAAACCTTGTCAGATTTATAAGCAGTGTTCTTCTCCTCCTGCTTTTTGAAAAAGTGTCAGTGGTGGCTTTTATGCAAATATTAAAGGGACACAAGCTAGTCTACACAGGGTCATTGTACATCACTAGTACTGATCTACCATTTATTAGTTTTGGGGTCTGTGTTTAGTTTTTAGGGAAAGACAGAGAAGTTGGTTACTAATTTATAACAAACAAAATTATGTAATTGCAGTAAAAAAAAATCCATCCACGGGAGACAGAAAATGACCAGTAGACTCCTAATTTTTTCTTTCACCTTTCTGTCCACTTACTTAAGGATTGGGAAATACACACACACACACACACACACACACACACACACACACACACACACCACATTTGGTAATAGTAAAGCAACTAGAATTCTGTTTATGGGGCCAGGCAAAGTAGGTCAAGTTGTCCAGGGTATAGCCAAAATAATATTCATTTGTGGTCAGAGAGGGAATTGAGACCAAGTAAGAATCAAGGGACAGAGCATGGCCTTTAATGGGATAATGAGCCCTCAGGTCAGATGCAGAAACTGAATGTAGAATTTGAACAGGTAGAGGCAAGGCTCCCTTTATAAGAGCAGATTTTTTAATCTTAGCTATTCAGGAGGCTGAGAGCCAAGAATCATAGTTTAAAGCCAGCTTGGGCAGAAAAGTTCATGAGACTTTAATCTCCAGTTACCTAGCAAAAAGAAGGAAGTGAAGAGTAGCTCAAGCAATAAAGCTTCCACTTTGAGTGAAAAGGCCAAATAAGAGTGCATGACCCTGAGTTCAAGCTCAAAATATGGGTTCAAGGTACAAAATAATTAAATAAATAAAATGGTAAAAAAAAATTAAATTAAGTATTTGTTTCATGGAATGGTACTACAGCTGGCATTTCAATAGAAAGTTACAGAAATTAAACAGGCCTTCATAAGATAACATCCTTCATTAACTCAACATAACTCCAACTCCATTCAACCTGTATTGCTATTTCAAATAAGAACTTTAGGTTAAAAACTAAGTGATAACGTGGATAGGTACAAATTTTGATGTGTAATAGGGAATGGAACAATAGGAGAAAATGATTATGTAACCAAGTTAATAAAGCAAAGGAGAGGAAGGTACAGAGGCAGAGAAAGCAGAGATAAGTTATTTTGGTGGAGAGATACCATTCCTTGTATCACTCAAGAGTATAAATAGAAAATAAGTCCTCTGTTAGCAAACCATTTTACTTAGAGTACATTTCAGGCAGGTGATCTGAAAGCACTGGGATAGTTTCCCTTTAGGTCAGGATTACTAAACATGTTGATATAAAAACATCCAATTTTCAGCAAAGCAATGCTGGGACCTGAATTATACCCAAAGTGCTTCCAGATCATTGGCTTTCAGAGGATTCCAAACATCTGTGAAAGGTTTTAATATATTAATATCTGAACTTTACTACCAGAAACCTGGATTTAAGTAGTTTATAATGGAGTCTTAGAATTTTTTTATTTTTAACCATCATTCATGTAAGTCTAATGGACATTTGGGGCTTAGCACTGGTATCCTAAAAATACCTGTGGTACAAGAGAGTTACAGAATCCCTGGAATGTAAAGAGCTTGGCTATTTGCAAACTTTGTTATTTATGTTCTTTAAGCCTCAGTTTTCTAAGCATTAAAATGATATCATACTCAACAATGAGAGAGTGAATGAAATATTGGCAGCATCCCGTATGAGAGCAGGAACAAGACAAAGACATATATATCATCAGACTGCTGTTTAATGTGTGTGGTCAATGCTATCACACACAAAGAAGAAATAGTAATATATAAGGATGAGAAAAGAAACAAAACTGTCAGCCTTTATAGATCCCATGATTGTGTATATAGAAACCCTAAAAAAAAAAAAAAAAAAAAGACTCCACATAGAGCTCCCTTTGACCCAGCAATCCCACTTTTGGGCATTTACCCAAATGTTCACAAACATGACCACACTAAAGCTACCAGCATGACTATGTTTATCGCAGCATTATTTACCATAGCTAAGATATGGAACCAACCCAGATGCCCCTCAGTAGATGAATGGATCAAGAAAATGTGGTATATATACACAATGGAATTCTATGCCTCTGTCAGAAAGAATGACATTGCCCCATTTATTAGGAAATGTAAAGGCTTGGAAAAAATTATATCAAGTGAAGTAAGCCAGGCCCAAAGAAACATAGGTCCCATGGTTTCCCTTATTTGCAATAGCTAGTATATGTCTGAGTCAAGCAGAAAAGGTCAGAAAGTTGATGTTAGGGAAATGAACCCTAAGATATGTATTCAAATGTTTTTTGTTCTTTCATGGGATTGTTTCTAACACATTTATAAGATTATCTCTTTGTTGCTTTGTATGTCCCTCCCCCCACAGTATAACCCCTCCTTCACTGTATTTGATGTCGGTATAATTTGTGGAGGGGAAGGGGAAAAACAAATCGTTTAAATATGGATACAGGTAGACCCATTGCAACAATGAGATGTACAAGTCATTACGTTGGAAATGAACTTTACAACTTTGGTGCGGGGAAGGGGGGGTGGGTGGGGGGTGTGGGGGGAGGGGGGAGAAGGGGAAGAATTGGGGGGGGGGCGCGGGGGGAGGATGGGAAGGGATGGGAAGGGGAAACAAAGGAGGAGGCTACAATGCTTGATAAGAAAAGCACTCATTATCTTGCCCATGTAATTATAACCCCTCTGTACAGTATTTTCACAATAAAAAAAAGAAACCCTGAAAAACAAAACCGATATACTATTAAATTGTGTAAGTGAAATTGGTAATACCATTGTAGACAATATCTAAACTGTATCTTCTATGTGTTAGCAACAACAAAAAGATTTGCAAGTGACACATGACCATCAAACACAGCAAGAAATGAAGCTAAAAGGAAGTGCAAGACAGTAACTCTCTTTCTGTCTGACACCTTGATGAGGCCACAGTGGTTGGTAGCTACTGCTCTCCAGGCTTCATGATGCCACTAAAGGATGACAAGAAGAAAGATGTTGGAAGCTGGCAAAGACAAGAACCAGTAAGCAAGTCTAGGGGCAAAGCTAAGAAGAAGTGGTCCAAAGGCAAAGTTCAGGACAAGCTCAACCACCCAGTCCTGTTTGACAAAGCCACCTACAACAAATTGTGTAAAGAAGCTCCCAACTTCTGTGGCTTCTGAGGCTGAAGATTCATGACTTCCTGGCCAGCACTTCAGGAGCTCCTTAGTAGGGAACTTATCAAATTACTTTTAAAGTACAAAGCTCAAATAATTTATACTAAAAATAATATAGGTGGAGATGCCTCAGCCGCTAGTGAAGATGCACGAACAGGTCCAACCAGCTGTATATTTGGAAAAATAGCACTTTATTAAATTAATGCAGGCAAGAATGCATTTTATATGCCACAGAATGGAGAAAAATAAGGGAAGGAGTGAATAGAAGGGCAGGGAAATGTTGGAAGGATGACCAACCAAGATGCTTTGTATACATAAATTGCTTTGTTAAATGGCAAAAAATTCAATACATAATCTAAAATTAAGAAAATTGAGGTAAGGAGTTGGGTGGGAGGGGTGTTTGAGAATGTTCAAAAGAATGACATTGTGATCAAGAGGTTCTATATTCATAATCTGCACTGTCAAATGGCAAATCCTTTGTACAACTAGTTGAAGAAAACATCTTTTAAAGATATCAACACTGAAAACTCAAAACCTTGCTGAAATAAAAGACAATCTATGTAAAGTGGAAAGATGTACTATGCTCACTCTCTGAAATACTATATTGCTTGAGATGTCAATTGCCCAAAAATTTATTGAGCAACTTAAAGGAATCCTACTCCAGGTTTTTATTTATGTCCCAAGCCTGTAATTCGAGCTATTCTAGAGACTGAAAATGCGAGGACTGTGATTTGAAGCCAGACAGGAAATAAAGTTCACAAGACCCCTTTTCAACCCATAGTTGTGCATTGTGTCATGGGCCTGTTATCCCTCCTTTACTGAAGGCTGATATTGAGAAGACTGTGGTTTCAGTGCAGCCCTAAAGTTCACATGGCTCTATCTCAGTGGAATGTACCTGTCATCCCAGCTCTGTCAGGAAGACTAAAATAGTCAGATCACAGTCCAAATGCACACCTATACAAGCAGCCAGTCCCTATCTCAAATATAACCAGTGCCTTAAAAGGGTTGAAGGCCTAGCTCCGCATAAAGGTGTCTGAATTCAATCTCCATCACCACAAGAGGAGAGAGACAGAGAGACAGAGGGACAGAGACAGAGAACAAATATAAAAGAAATCCTTGTCAAAACATTAGCAGGGCAAGTGGCGCTGTGGCTCCAGTGGCCTTGAGCTGAAGACTTCAGGGGCAGCACAGTGCCCAGGCCCAGAGTTCAAACCCCATGTCCAAAAAAAAAAAGAAAGAAAGAAAAGAAAATTAGCAGGCATTTTTGTGGCCATTAACATGCTGATTATAAAATGCATATAGAAATGCAAGGATATTTTGACTCTTTTGACCTTAAGGAACGAAGTTGAAAGATTTACACAATTAAATGTCAAAATTTATTAAACTACAGGGACTCAGTGTCATATTGGCATGGATGGAGAAAAAAAATAGAACAGAGACATTAAAGTCTCAAAACAGACTTAGACTGTGTATCTGTGTATTATCACTTTACTTATAATGAAGACATTATTTCAATATATGAGTACGTAAAGTCATTGCTTTAACTTTAATTTTTTTATTTTTGTACCAATCCTGGAGCTTTAACTCAGCGCCTGGATGTTGTCCATGAGCTTTGTTTTTGCTCAAAGCTAGCTCTCTACCACTTGAAGCGCAGCTCTACTTCTGGCTTTTTGGTGGATAATTGAAGGTAAGAGTGTGATGGACTTTTCTGGGCTGGCTCTGAGCCGTGCTTCTCTGATTTCAGCCTCCTGAGTTTCTAGGATTATAAGCATGAGCCACCAGCACCAACAAGGATAGTCTTTTCAATAAATGGCCTTAGCTCGACTGAATATCCATGTGGAAAAACACTAAACCTTGGAAACCATTTATAAATTAATTTAAAATAAATTACAAGCCAGATGTGAAAGGTGAAACAATAAAACTCCTCAAATAAAATACAAAAGAAGACCTTTATGATTTGGGAGAATAAAAAGATTTCTTAAATGGACACAAGCAGCACTAACTTTTAAAAGACAAGAACAATTCATTTGACTTTAATAAAGTTAAGAATTACCACTTATCAAAAGACCACATTAAGAGATAAAAAAGCAAGCCACAGGCTGACAATATATATTGTCACCCTACATATCTTGACGGAGGGGTTTGTGTTTAGAATACATTTTAAATGTATAAGTCAATAAAGCAAAGACAAAGACCCAACGTCTAAAAACAAAAATCTCCAACCTTCCATGAAAGAAAACAAGCAAGTGGACAAGGAGAATATGAAACAGTGCTCAAAGTCAGATCCTATCTGAAAAATAACGAGTGGTGACAATACACCCAAGGATTCATAGGCAAGGGACTTTATGTCTAGCTGTCACAAATCTACAAACAAGTTGACTTACAATATTATGCATTCCAACAATAGATTAAAATGCTCTTTTAGAAATCGTATGTGTTCTGTCCTCCCTCCCCTTTCTCCTCTCTCTTGTCCCTCATCTCTCTGTCTCTGTCTCTGTCTGAGTGGGTATGCTTCTATCACCTACTCCTCTTTCTCTGTAAATCTGTCCTCTTTCTCACAGTCCTTCCCTCTCCTGTCTGCCTTTATCTCCCTAGATGCTCAGAGGACCCACCAAAGGACTGCAATGCTGATTCCTGCTCCATGATTTCAGGGTTGATTGTTATTCCCACTGCCATTGTCAGTGCCAGACTACTCCCACAAACAGGAGTCTTCCCTAGCATATTCTGCTCTTAACCTGCACCTTCATGAGTCTTTTCAACATCCTGTTTCTTCTTACTGTCCCCAGGAACTTCCTTTTTCTACTTCCCTCCAGAAATCCAAAGGGAAGGGGTAGGCAGAGTGCCACCTCTCTGGACCCCTGCATGACCCAGCTTCCTCAGTGTCACAAGTTCCCTTCTCCTTGACATGTTTACATGTGATTTTTATTTTTCACAAGATTATTGGGGGTTCAACCAGAAAACACACACTAACATTTTACTCTACAAATCTACAGAGAGAGAGAGAGAGAGTTCTCTTCTATGGACTCTAGAAGAACATCTCCTTCATCATATCAGTCCCAGGAACAGACACCAGAATTCCCCAATCGGCCAACTCATTACCTTCTTTCATTCTAACATTACATCTTACAAAAGTCACTTCACATGTCATATGATACCAGAAGAACTTTTACTATGTGAGAAAAAGCAAGGCTTCTCAGGATTAGGAAACTTCCTCCTGGCCCATCAGCACACCAGTGGCAAAGAGAGGTTCCAGAGCCTCTCCACCAACCCCTAGCCTCCACTGAGGAGGCAAGGCCAGACTCAACTGCTTATATCCACCTTACCTATTTCAGGCTGAGCCACCAAGCTCATCCTGGCCCACTAGCCTTTGAGGTCAGCTTTGAGATCTGAGGATTGCACTCAGAGATAGGAGTTGGATGGAGGGAGAGGAAAATGTGATGCATGGCTAGGATGAGCAGCGAAAATTCAACAAAAGTATTTTTAGCCATGCAGCCTGCCACCCTTGCAAGGTAGCTCACAAGGCTTATGATCCCCTCCCTCACGTCTACCACCAATCTCACCTCACACAGGGGCCTGGAACTGCTGGTGAAGGCCTCTTAGACTGTTGTGAGTGGAGTTAGCCATCTTGTGCTGTGGTCTCAGCTCTGTGGCTGGCAGCAGAAGCATTGTGGGTATGCATGCCACCTGCAGCCCCAATCCTCTATTCTCTCAGCTGTGAAGGACATTTATTCAATAGTGCACCAACAAGAGCAACTAGAATGGAACATGATAGCATCTCACAGTGGGGAGGAGGAGGCAGAGTCCTGGAGCAGGCATTGTGAGATATGTGTAGGAATGACACTTGCATACAGAGTGAGCACTAAAGTTGGAAAGGGGTAGCAGCCAGGGGAGGAGGTGAGAGCAACTGTCACTCTGGTCAAGATATCTCAGTCTCCAAAGAAAGCCAGGAGGCCCATAGTGGAGCAGAGATAAGGGGAAGGTAACTTAATTCTATGGAGTGCTGATTCATTCCATGGGCCCAGTCTGCAAAGCAGAAATCTATTATCATTCTACATTTACCCAGTGAAATGGGCTCAGAAGAGCACAAGGTCACATAATAACTGGAGATGCTGGACAGCACACTCAGACCTGAAGCATTGTGCTTAGATAGCACTTAGGTGCTAGGCTGGCGAGGCATGGGTCCGGGGCCAGCAGGGGTGGGGGGAGTATGGTGGTGGTGGTCGATTTTATCAGGTGGAAATTGAGGGCCCAGGAAGTTGTTTCTCCAAGAAGGCATGGAGCAAATTCTGAAGGAGCCAGGATATTGGGGCCCATATTAGATCGCGTGCAATATCTGTCTATATCCTGCTCCTGAATAAGGCTGACTGTGGGAAGATGTCCTGTTTCCATAACATGAAAATTTTTTCCCCTCTTCCTTCTCTCAAAGATATCATTCTGGACCCAACTTCTGATCCAGAGCCCACCAGCTTCAGCAGCTTTAAGAGAAGGCAGCCTCAGCTTTTGAGCTTTTCTGCTTGTCTGGTAAGATTATCCTAGATGTATACTAATTATTGAAAATAAGGGAAACTATGGGACCTATGTTTCTTTGGGTCTGTCTTACTTCATTTAATATAATTGTTTCCAGCTTTCCATTTCCTAACAAATGGGGCAGTGTCATTCTTTCTGATGGAGGCATAGAATTCCATTGTGTATGTGTGTGTGTGTGTGTGTGTGTGTGTGTGTGTGTGTGTGTCTGTGTGTCTCTGTGTGTGTGTGTGTGTGTGTGTGTCTGTGTCTGTGTGTATATCACATTTTCTTGATCCATTCATCTACTGAGGGGCATCTGGGTTGGTTCCACATCTTAGCTATGGTGAATAATGCTGCAATAAACATAGTTGTGCTGGTAGCTTTAGTATGGCCTTGTTTGTGATCCTTTGAATAAATGCCCAGAAGTGTACATATGACCGTATAAGATGGTGCTAAGCAAAATGAACCCCAGATAGGGACACGCAAGATTTTATCTTTGTTGCTGTTGTTTTTAATGTATATATAATGTACTGTGTGATTTTGTATGTTCTTCCCCCATGGTATAACCCCTGTTTTCAGTGTATTTGATTCCAGTGCCCTGCATCTTGTTTATACATTTTTCTAATTTGGGGAGGGGAAAAGAAATAACAGAATGCTGAAACAAGTATACAGGTTGACCCATTGTAACAATGAG